ATCATGAAAATAACTATTTCTTTAATAACTTTATTCATTAAAACTTGCATTTAAAAATGTTCAAAAACAATACATAATAGCAAGACCAGTTTTAAAATGCAATGAATATAATAAGATTGTATACTGAAAATGCATTCAGGTTATGTTCAAAACATTCATCATGGTATTATTTTTTGTTAAAAAATATCTGCTTGACTTGTTGCACATTTTGTGTATGTTCTCAGTTTCACACTGTAAGAATCAACAGTAATCTCCCACCATCATAGGATTCCACTGTCCTTGATATTGCTGTTCCATTGTAGAAATACCTTGGTGGAAGCACTCGGCATGCTCATTGCATCTAGATCACTTGGAAAAAAAAAGACTAAATGAGAGTGTAAAAAATGCATCTTTAGTGACATTCTAGAACCCATTTTACTTTTGCTGTTGAGCATCAGAGCATAGTTTAATATCTGTGATTTCCTAAGAAAATTTTGACAAGAAGTTTGAATGATTTCCAGGACGAAGTTCTTTCTGATTGAGTATTGTTTCAAAATCATTATCAATCAGATACCTTCTTTCATTTTTGCTCCACTGATTTTTGGAAACTTGTCAGACAGATATTTGAAACCATTATTACCATCTTTGTTCATTCCTTTTACAAAATTCTTAATGAGTCCTAGTTTAATATGAAATGGAGGCAAAAACACATTTTGAGGATTCACCAAAGGTTGATACTTGATATTTCGTTTTCCTGGTATGTAATTCTCTCTCACTGGTCATTCCTTCTTTTTGAAATGATTTTTATCATCTTGCCTGTCCCAGAGACACAAAAAGTAGCAATGTTTGGTATACCCACTCCGCAATAGCTTTTTTCAGATCACCACATATGTTCCACCTGTGGTGATCATACTTGATGGCATCAAGTATAATCTGCATGCATTGATAAGATTCTTTCGTGTTCACAGCATGAGCAATAGGAATCAATGGCTTAATGTTCCCATTGTGTAAAACTACAGCTTTCAGACTAACTTTAGAAGAGTTGATAAAAAGTCTCCATTCTTGAGGATGATGTTCAATACCTAATTCTTCCATTAGTGCATCAACATTTGTACAGAAACACAAAGTATCTTGCATGCTGTAGTGAGAAGCAAGACTTTGATGGCGACTTCAGTAAATTGAAACTCTTGTTTCTGGAGCTAATACATTCAATTGCTGTATACGAGAGCCAAGAAATGTCCCATGCTGCTTTGATAGAGACAAATCACGAATCAGATCATTTAGCTTTTCATGTGTGATCAGGTGAGGCAGGTTATGTTGAGGTGCCACAGGAATAGAATTACTTTTTGCAGGATAACTCTTCTGTTTCCCAATTTGCTGATGGATGTGGCACTGGAAGACCATCCCCATGAGATACTGGTTTCATTTCAGATGCAATATCTGGATTTTTAGTGTATTATTTATTTTTTGAATATCCAGAAACATTAGCTATGCTAAAATAACAGTCACTTAGGTGATCTTTGGGCTCATGCCATATCATGGGAACTGCAAGTGACATACTTGATGGTTTGTCATCATCATCAACCTTG